ATCTAGACTTACATATTAAGATACTAGTAGAAATGACTCGCATACATAAATTTGAATAACTTGGATTGACCAGTCCCCGAAAGCAGCGCCTGTTCACAGACATGACGAGTGAACCAGCCATCGCTTCACTCGACCATATTAGAGGGAATGTAACGACCCGCCTCACTACGCCACCACCCCAGAGACATTTTAGTGAGAATGACAATTCCAAGTTATCTCTTTAAAAAAAAAACTAATAATAAAGCTAAGTAACAGTCCAGATTGAGAAGCATGACACTATAACATTTGAGAAATTATTATTAGTTTATACATTACTTTTCATTTTAATTCTTTTTAGTGCGAGCATGAGAGGACCATAATCCTACTCCCAGGATGACTTATCATTAAGAAAATCTCGAGTTGTATAATAGGCTTTTTTAAGCATGTGATCTTTAACTATATCTTTAAATTTATTATACGGTAGCTCTTTATATTTATCAGGGACTTTGTTATAAAAATGGATACCTTGTCCCATAAAAGAGGCAAACACTTTATTAAGTCTAAAAGCGGGTATAGCCAATTTATTTTTATTTCTAGTGTTAATTTGGTGAATATCACTTTTCTTTTTGAATTCAGTAATATTTTTTTGAATAAATAGAATACAGTTTAAGATGTATTGTGAAGCGGCCGTGAGAATGCCAATTTCTTTAAACAATTCTCTAAGGGATGCTCTTGCTTTCATTTTATACAAGTATCTTATCGCACGTTTTTGCAAAATAAATATTGTTTCAAAATCTGCAGCTTTGCCCCATAGCATGATTCCATATGACATTAGGCTATGAAAGTAGCTAAAGTAGACTAAGCGAGCTGTTGAAACATCGGTTAATGACCGTATCCTTTTTATTGCAAAAGCCGCTGAGCTGAGCTTTCCCGCCAGAGTTTCTATATGGGGGCCCCACTGGAGTTTTGAATCCAGGGTAATTCCCAGAAATACAGTAGAGTCTACCAGATCGATTGCATTATTATTAAGTTCTATTTGAGTACTAACTGTTTTTACGTTAGGCAAAGAGAATTTTATACATTTTGTTTTCTTTGCATTGAGTTGTAAATTATTTGTAGTGAACCAACTTAAAACTCTTGTTAGTGCATTATTTACATCGTCAAAGTTATTTTTACTTCTGTCGATATTAAAAATCAAAGATGTGTCATCAGCAAACAAATGTTTGTACTGTGCGGGAATCGAACCCGCAACCTCCGGAATAGTAGTCCGATTCGAACCACTACACCAAACGGCCGACTAAATAAAACTTTATGGCAGTGTCTTAGGCTGAGTTGCACCACCTTTAATTTAACCTTAGCAATAACATTAACTGGTGCTTTGTGTTTGGAGTTTGACAGGTTTTTGATGTTTGTCAAAGTTAAAGTAAGATGGTGCAACCCAGCCTTAGTCACTAACTTTCAAATGTTTTTGACGCTTGCAACGGGGTTGTTGGGATTAAACCCGAACCCACAGTTTCAGATGGATATGCCGCATGCCGCAGGTAGGTACAGATAGTAAGTAAGTAAGTAAGCATTTATTTGCTGCACACAAAGTCACATACATAGTTTAACAAGATTACATAATTCAATATTTAACATGCACATTCAAAATAAAAAACAAAATAAATAACAATGAAAAATGAAATAATGTGAGCAGAGTTGCGGCAGCAAAAGGTCTCCGTCTCAGCATGTGTCACAAGCCTGGACGCTGATTTTCAGACGGCGGCCGACGAAAGTGGAGATTTAATTTAATTAACTATTTAATGCCACATAAATTGATACACACGACGATCTTTAATGCTGTATGGCATTCTCTTCCTACCAGTTACTTACGCTTTTTGATAAGAAGAAAATTAGCATCAAATCGATCGATCGATTGCAAAAATGTCTTTAAATTGAAGTATTTAGATTTAAGATTAGAACTAGGCTTTCTGTACAAAAAAATTGACCAATTTTGTCTAAAATGGGGCTTGGACTGCGGTGTCTCCAGCAGAGTGAAGACAATAGACGTCCGACAACATGACCTGTGCTCGGGGACCGCAGTCAAGTGTGCTCACTCAATATTCGTATTTACGTCTCGTGCGGCGAAAACTTCGACACCGCGATGCAGGTTTCCGCGGCGCCATCTATTGGTGAATGTAGGAACTTTTTGTCACATCATCACGGTTTTTTTTTCATTTTTAATTTCAATGCTTACCCCCTTACTAATAAAACTTACACGCTCGTTGAACAGTGTTTTAAAGTGACGTTTAGTATGGAAATTTCATTTTAAAACACTGTTCAACAAGTATGTAACTTTTTATTAGTAAGGGGGTTAGTTTATAAATAAAATATCTTGTTTAGTAATATATTACGTTTTTTATTTCTTAAACTTACAACATATCACAGACTTTTTGTTGCCGTGAGTTACATACAAATGCATATTAATTAACATGAATAAAAATATAAAAACAAATTAAATAAAATAAATCATTAATAGGCCCTCGATTAATCCGATATATTTTATAACATTTACGTACAATAATATTAATTATTTACTTCATTGAAAGAGGCGAAGAATTTAATTTTTGTTGTGATTGTATTACTAGCGGAGTAGGTATGTTTATTTTTATTATATTCTAGTATTAAATTGATACATTATGTACTTCACGATGTAAAATGGTAGGTAAATCTCTTTTAATATCACGACCTCTTACTTAATAAATAAAAATTATACTAAAAAAAATTACAACTTAAATACTCCCGGCAACACTTTTTTTTAGGGTTCCGTAGCCAAAATGGCAAAAACGGAACCCTTATAGTTTCGTCATGTCCGTCTGTCCGTCTGTCCGTCTGTCCGTCTGTCCGTCTGTCCGTCTGTCCGTCTGTCCGTCTGTCACAGCCGATTTACTCGGAAACTATAAGTACTACAGTGATGAAATTTGATGGGAATATGTGTTGTATGAACCGCTACAAAATTATGACACTAAATAGTAAAAAAAAGAATTGGGGGTGGGGCCCCCCATACATGTAACTGAGGGATGAAAATTTTTTTTTCGATGTACATACCCGTGTGGGGTATCAATGGAAAGGTCTTTTAAAATGATATAAAGTTTTCTAAAAAACATTTTTCTTAAAGTGAACGGTTTTTGAGATATCAGCTCTCAAAGTCGTAAAAAGTATGTCCCCCCCCCTCTATTTTTATAACTACGGGGTATAAAATTCTAAAAAAAATAGAGGTGATGCATGCTAATTAACTCTTTCAACGATTTTTGGTTTGATCAAAGTATCTCTTATAGTTTTTGAGATAGGTTGATTTAACTGTAATTTTGGTTAAGTTATTGTGCTTACACTGAAAACGATGGCTGAACCTTATAAGATAGATCAAAAAATATACTACAGTATTGTACACCTTTTAAAATCCGCGATGATATAAAATCTTTATAATGTAGGTACTTTTTACGAGAAATATTAGCTTATTCAAGCAATACGCCATTAATCCTTATCCAGTAATGTACCTTAAATACATTGTGCATTTGATAAAGTTTAATATTACAAATGTGATTGTTGAGTAATAATAGGTTAAACATATCCATCGAACCAATATTTTTAAAACGCGTTAATCCTATAGATTATTATTACATCGATTCAAGAAGATCGGTCGCTCGCTGCGCTGCAGCGCGTGAGTTGCGGGGCGTGGTCTCGCGCGGGAGCGGGGATAAGATAGCTAACCGCGTCGACCCGAACGGGCAGACACGTGAGGGCAGACGTCGTTGTCACTTGTGCGCGCTAAGAGAATTTCATCGTTCCCATTTACTTCTTTCGCAAGTCGAATTTGGCGTTGAGACTTTTTAATATTGAATTGTACCTATTATAAAAAATAAGTAAGTAGGTATACTGGTTTAATAGGTGCTATTAAACCGGTCACGTACTAATAAATCCCCCAATAATATAAATTCCTTTGTTTTTGGTGCAAATTTTAGTGTTTCGTAGCAGGTTTTTAAAATTTCTAAAGCTTATTGTATATCATCTAACAATGGATACTTTAGATAATACGTTTTCCTACATTCTGAATTATAATAACTATATCGAAGATGATGTGGTTCGCGCATTTCATGAAAAGTTACTTCGGTGCACATCATTTAGACCGCGTGAGCTAGAATTATTTCAACACCCTGAACTGATTGAACCTGTACCTAAAAATGAGACGCACCTTCAAGTAATTTATGACGGTGACGTGGGATTAGTGGGGCACTGGAGTTGTATTTATTACATTAATGGAATACTGCGTGTGTACGATAGTCTTGTTGGTGTTCTAGGAAAATCGCAAAAAATATATGTAAAAGCCTTGTTTCCGTATCTATCGGAGTCATGTATTCAGTTTCCAAGTGTTCAGCGACAACCGAATACTATTGATTGTGGTTTGTTTGCCATTGCTTTTGCCACCTCTTTAGCTCGGAATATTTATAAATACATATATAAAATTAATATTCATACATAAAAGTACAAGGCAAAATATCGGGAGAGTTTAGGCTCCATTCACCAGGTGTATAAATTGACATAATAAGTTTATTATATTTGCTGCTACGGAACCCTTTGTGCGCGAGCCCGACTCGCACTTGGCCGGTTTTGTTTTTAGAATTTCCTATAAGTTTTACAAAAGCAATAAAAACAATATCCCAGAAAATACTTGTTTGTTGGATAATTTAATTCAAATTATGTTTTTTCTTCTATGTACAGTCGACAGTACATCATTGCAATATGGCTCTTATTTACAAAAACATTAAGATTCCATTTCCATAGCGTTTAGCTTGATGCACCGTTCGTCTATATGATTTACTAGCTTTCCGCCCGCAGCTTCGCGCGCGTGGACTACATTATCTACATATTTTACGAAACCCTATTTTTTTCCATAATAAAATTTAGCCTATGTTACTCGTGGATAATGTAGCTTTCGAATGGTGAAAGAATTTTTAAAAACGGTCCAGTAGTTTTTGAGCCTATTCATTACAACCAAACAAACAAACAAAGTTTTCCTCTTTATAATATTAGTGTAGATATACGAATACCTTGACCTCAGATTAAAGTAGATTTTAATTCCTATACTCGTAATTCAAATTTAATTGAAGCATTTCAGAGGAATTTAGGTCAAGTTACATGTTTTACTAATTAAATTACCAACTCGTAAGATGATAGAAGTGTTATTTCTATAACTGTAATCGCTTACTGGTGACAGTAATGGCGTTTAAAATATTTAATGCGCCTCTGTGCTCCAAGTGGCGCTACCAGACGATGTCATTCAAAAGCGAAATGCACATAATGGCGCATAATATTTAGAAGGCAATAAAAGAAAATTAAAGGTCTTAGCAGACTTATCAACCCGGAAAGGGATCAACACCGTATCGCCTTTCGCGCACTGTCAACATCTTTCGCGCACTGTCAACATCTTTCGCGCACTGTCAACATCTTTCGCGCACTGTCAACATATTTCGCGCACTGTCAACATCTTTTGCGCGGTGTCACCCGCGAGGCGAGGCTTTTACATTACGGTGCAGATAAGTGGGCGTTGCAATGCAGTACGGATTTTCATACAAAGAATACTGATTGTCCCAATTATGTCTCCATTATGCGATAAAGATAGTAGAAAACGAAACGATTAGTACATAAATTCTACTAAAATAAGTATTTTTGGCGATATTAATTTCATTGATATTACACTATTTACCTACTGTTAACGTAGTTAACTTTAACATAAAATTAAACTAACTAAACCACAGCACAAATAATACTCAAGTTGTCTTATAATTCGGTTTTGATGCCACATAGCGTGTAGAATTCCCTCTCAGGCAGAAGGTACTGCTTGGTCATTTCTTTAAACTTCTCGAAATTGCAGTACTGTTCTGTTTCGCAGCCGTAGATGTGGAGTGGACTGGCTGGGAACTCGCCAGCCTGTGGCAGGTACACCGGCTGAAAAAGAAATATGACGATAAAAATGTATTCACATCACTATGACACTACAGCGCCGCTTTGGGTTAAAATCTGGGTCAAAGATGCTTTTGGACTTTCCAACTGTACAATGTTTTATTCTGAGTTGAAACATGGTCGCCATGGCTGGACAAAGGCCTCCCCCTTAAGTTTTCCACAACAGCCAATTTCCTTGACCTTCCGCAGGTCATCAGGCTACCGAGTGGACCTGCCTACGCCTTTCGATGTGTGGTCGTCCATGAATTACGACACTCAAGGGACTGAGCATTTTTCAACGTTTATAGATAAAGGTCGTTAAATGGAGTGACACGGTAAAGCAGATATAAAATAAGGCAAACCAAAAAAGTTAAGAAATAACACGTTTTAAGCAATTTATCGCGTAATATCGAGTAACGTTATAAAGAGTTTACACTGTACTTTTTTGTCGAGGAAAATGCATTAAATTGCATACCTATCACGCGAGGACGGCCTAGGTTATGTCGGGCTCACCAAGTCAGAAGGAAAAGGAATAGGTACGAATCACTAAAACGGCTCCGGTGCTTCGTCATTCGCCTGTAGGGTTCCTACAGCAACTTTTTGTATACGATCAACACCCACATAAACCAATCAATCAGCTGTCTAACATACCATAACACTAAACTCTCCCGTGCTCCTCGACTTGTACAGTTCCAAAGCGAATACTGCCCCGTACTCCGGGATGCTTTGGTCACTCTTCACCTTGGCCACCTCCATTAGGGCTCCAATGTTGAAGTCATTGGCGGAGAACAGACGGAGAGGGTTGGTGATGCTCTAAGATTTTTTAATCCTCAACGAAGAAGAATTTAGCCGGGATCTCACCTGATGGAAAGTGATGATCAGGCCGAAGTTTTTCACAACAACAGCAGATTTTTTTCATCCTCCCCAGGTCATCAGTCAACCGAGAGGAAGACCAGGCTACACCTACGTCTTTCGGTGTATGGGCGCTACTTGAGAACTTCTCTGTCCTAATGGCCATCATCTTATGAGCTATAGTCATGGTATTTGTTTAAATATTTATAGTGTTTATGTATAGGTACCTATGGTCAGCATTTCGTGAGTTACTCTGGTGTTCAAATACTTACCCTCCGGTGACAGGGTAGGTTATGTAGGCTCACCCATCAAAACGACCACGGTGCTCCATCACTCACCTTATAGGAAGGAACTGTGGTATTCCCACAGCAGCTTTTCGCATGGGTTCAACATCCATAAACTAATCATCCTTTATACGGCAGTAGAAATATAGTTCCCACCATGTTTTGAACTTTATTCCCTTGGTTAAAAAAATGTGTACTTTTTATGCCGTTGACTTACCATAACACTAAACTCTCCCGTGCTCCTCGACTTGTACAGTTCCAAAGCGAATACTGCCCCGTACTCCGGGATGCTTTGGTCACTCTTCACCTTGGCCACCTCCATCAGGGCTCCAATGTTGAAGTCATGGGCGGAGAATAAACGGAGAGGCTTGGTGATACTCTTGCCTTTGGTTAAGGCTGTGGCGGCTTCCACGAAGTTGTTGAGGAGGACACCTGGAAATAATATGTCAGCATCATTCATCATCAGGTGTGTTGTATTGTCTCTACTGTAGGAACACGACCCTCCTATATCTATACTATTTAAACTAATATTATAAATGCTAAAGTAACCAATGACATATACTATAAAAACATCTAAGAAAGTAACTCTTTCTGTCTGTCTGTCTCGCTTTTACGCCTAAACCACTGAACCTTTTTGATGAAATTTGGCACAGAGATAGCTTGAGTCCCAGGAAAGGACATAGGATTGTTTTTATCTCGGTTTTTGAAACAGAGACGCGCGCGATAAAGTTTTTCTGTTTCAGACAAATTGCCACGCGGGCGGAAAGCTAATCATAAGATAAGGGAAGAATAAGCGAACATCAGGCCTCAAATCTTCCATTTGAACTTGGTTAAGAAGAGGTTATGTTCCTGCAGTGAAGACTACCGGTTATCAACACGGAAAGTGATTAATACCGTATAGCCTTTCGTGGCGAGGCGAGGCGTTTACGTTACGGTGCGGACAAGTACATATTTCTGTAATGGTTAATTAAAAAAAAATATTGAATAAAAAAAGTAGTACGGAGTTTCATACAAAGAATACTGAGCTCGAGTTGATACGGTTACGATCCGTTTCCGGGTTGATAAGTGTGATTAATCCTTAACAGATGATGTATTGTGAAACGTAACTTAACTTGATACTAGGTAATGCTAAAAAAAGCCCGTACTAAGCTTCGAACCACTGTATTTTTAATTACATTGAAGTCTTATTTTAAGAACCAAAGTAACAATCGTGGAAACTTACCTCCACCAATCTTCTTCATTTCATCGGTTCTGAAGTACAGCCTATAAGCTAGCCTGGCTGCTTCTCCTAGCCTGGGCAGGAGAGGCTTGGCCCATTCAGGAATGTCTAAACCAAGACCGACCTGTAATTATATGATCAGCTATTAAAAATGTTAGTGTATAAAAGTTATCACCACTTTATACGGAAGAAGAAGACTGCCTATTTAAATAAACTATGTATTTATTTACTCCTAAATAAACTATTTATTGATAAAGGAACGCGATAAGTATCTCAAGTAGTTTTCGTGGTTTTGAATTCATCATCAACATCATCATTTTAGCCACAGGACGTCCACTGCTGAACATAGGCCTTCCCTAATGATTTCCACATCGCCCGGTTGGGAGCAGCCTGCCAGCAACCAGCCATCCAAAGCCTTCCTGCTACCTTTATGAGGTTGTTCGTCTACCTTGTGGGTGGACTTTTCACGCTGCGTTTTCCGGTACGTCAAGGCATTCGTTCGTTCGTTCGTTTCAGCCGAATGACGTCCACTGCTGGACAAAGGCCTCCTCCAAGGTTTTCCACAATGAATGGTCCTGCGCTGCCCGCATCCAGGCTCTTCCCGCGACCTTCGCCAGATCGTCAAGGCATTAAATTATGGAAAATATCTTAAAGAGACTTTCTGTAACGATCCTTACCTGACTCCTCAACAAATCGAAGAGGGTCTCGAACAACAAAGGGTTTTCCGTGAAGTTCTTTCCAGTCAGAGCCTTCAGCTTCGGGATGAGGTCGTCGAACTGCCTGAACTCTTCGAAGACGGACTCCTGCTTGGCTGCCTTCATCAGGTTGGAGAAGCGGACGCAGTTTGAGTAGTAGCGGAGCTGGAGAAAGATTGACAATTAATAATAACAAATAAGTTTATTTTCTCACCACAAATTATCATAGTACAAAAGTGTATTTACAATTAGATTAATATTAAATTACAACTAAATTTGTGGGAGACAGGTGTATAATGTAGGCAAAGATTGCCTATGCCTTAGAGCACAGGCCTCCACTCCCAGTCAATTGAAGTAATAATATTATTTTGATCCGTTTGAGCCATGCCATAATGTCTGACACCAGTGCTGTCGTCTTACACCCCATTTGTTCAACCTACACGATAAAGGAAGAGTAAGATCAATCAATATTTACTTATCTATCAACACATATTCGCTAAGAAAGAGCTTTCCCAAAATACCTAGAGTTAAGAAGAATTAAGAGTTTAAAGCTGTAAAAAATTCACCAAAAAGGTAAACGTAGGCATAATAGGACGCTGAACCGTAAACAGTATTAAATATGGATTTGTAATTATGATTTCATAAAGAAACTTTAATATTCATTAACCAGGAAGCTCCCTGCATACAAAAGCTTTTAAAACTTTTATCAAGTCGTCGGTCAGTTCATTAACTTTTGAAACATAAATTAAATATGATGTTATGAAAACATATTATATTTATTTATAAATATTCAGATAGTTAAGTTACCAAAATGAACAATATTTTTGTGTTTTAATAACTAATGCGATGTTTCAATATTTACACAACATTATAGTTCACGTAACCTTATGTCAAATAGCATGATTATTGTATTTTTAACTCAATTATAGATCATTATATTTATATAACACGCAAATATCGATATAAGTTCAAGACGGTTGCGTAAGCGTGATTATCATTTAATGATTTATTTATTTGTTCATTAGCTCATCTCAGAGTTGTTTATGTTGATTTATCATTTTAATGAGGTATTTAATTATAATTAACGATTTATTAATACGCCACGTGGCGTGAGGAATAAAAATATATATTTACTAGCTTTTGCCCGCGGCTTCTTCACCCGCGTGAAATTTAGTTTGTCACAGATCGTCATAAATTATAGCCTATTGTTACTCTGAATAATGCTGTAGAGTATCATCAAAATCCGTTCAGTAGTTTTTGCGTGAAAGAGTAACAAACATCCATCCAGACATCCAAACTTTCGCAATTATAATATTAGTAGGGTTTTATAAATTACTATCAAACTTTACTGTGGATCCTAAAAAGATACTGTATTTTTTGGTGCTATTTTACAATTAAAGTAGCCTGAAAATGACAAAACTGAGTGCTCCCAATTCTGAGATAGACTTATCAACTCGGAAAGGGATCAACCGTATTGAACTTCGCGAGCTGTCATCTCCTTTCGCGCGCTGTCAACTGTGAGGCGAGGCGTTTACGTTACGGTCAGGATAAGTGTGCGTTGCAGTATGAGGTTTCATACAAAGTATACTGACTGTCTCGAATTGATACGGTTACAATCCCTTTCCAGGTTGATAAGTGTGCTACGTCCTTAATATTTGATACTTACATAGTCTTCGCTCAATGGTACAGCAAAGTAGGGTACTGGTTGCCAAATTTTGCCCACACCTTCGTCCCACTGCTGCTCTGTTTCTGGGGGGTAGAGAGCTGCCATAGCCACCTGTGTTTGGATAAAAAACATTTTTTGAAAAACTTTTTCACTGTACCAGTAACAAACAGTTCATTGTGTGAATGTTGCCTGCGACATACAGAAAATTCATGGGGAGAAATATCTAAATCTTTAATAATATACATCAGGTGATTCAGGTGGCATCGCATACCTTGTTCTATTACAGAGCGGTTGTTTCTTATACAGTGTAGACCAATCACATATTATTATGAACTATACGAGTATACTTAAGTACCTAACTAACGCCCGTATTCACAAACATTACTATGAGGTCTCACTGTGTGCGTGGACGCACAGGGTGACACACGAACCAATCACAGAGCTCTATTCAACGCTGTGCGTTCGGTTTTCTGCTTCACTTAAACAAGTATCGTTTGTGAAACGTTGTTTTGTACTTATTAAGACTGTATTTCGTATTTGTCCATCAACTTAACACATTGAACGCCAACGCGGTCAATGTTGTCCGACACTGCACTTTCCTACCAGGCCAAGTAAAAATTTCAATTTTTTTCAATTTTCGTCGATTGTTTTTTTTTGTTAAATCGTTATATTATAAACATAAATAAAGGATTTTATTAACATATAGTTGTTTTTGAGTCTCTACATCGAATTATTAAGCGTCGGACATCATTGATCCCCATGGCCCCAGCGAGCGAAAATTCGAAAATCCGTTCCGTAGGGCCGCGCGGTCATGTTGTCGACCATCCCCGCTCGCATCCAAAAAAAAAAGGAGAACAACCAAAAAAATAAAGAGTTGTACATTGGTAGGTTTTTGATATATTATATTACGCATAAATAGGAATATTATAAGGTATAAAATGAGAAACGAAACTAGCAGGATAAGTCTTAAATAGTGATTAAAAATAATAATAAATAAATCGATGATACCGTAAAAGGAACGCTAAAAGTGATTTTTTTCAAATTGTTTTAATTAAAAAAGGTTTAAATTTTATTTAAAAAATTGAATTTATCAATAATTCGTATAAAAAATGTCCAAAACTGAGCCGTCCCAGCTATGGCATTGTCAGGAAGGCGCTACTATCAATACTGAACTATTAGTTCCCATTTTTGCCTCGTTGGACAGCCATATAATTATGAAATTTACAGGAAGGTGCTGCTAACAACTGGGTTATTAATCCAATTTTTGCGACTTGACGTTTTAGAAATTGTTTGACTGTATTTTGAATTTTTCATCCATCACTGTAGTGTCACTTTCGATCGGTTCTTTTTTCAAAACAATATTGAATTGTCAATATATCTACAAATAATATTTAAAAATATACTTAAAATTAAAAATAATTATAATGACATAGCTGATTTAACATGCCAATACTTTGACCAACATGAATAATAAAAAAAAGTTCTAGAATAGAGTATTGATAAGAGAAAAAATGTTTTTTTCATACATTAAACAAATCTATTTTTCTCGACAATCCTGCTAGGTGTAAGCATATAATAAGTACAATAATTTATGCCACTAATAAGGTTTTAAATGGCATAATTTTTGTAGCTGTACAAAGAACTTAGTACCTGTACCAACCCTTCATACAAAGTGGTTGTTTAACAATGAAAGTGATTTTTTTTATTGTCCTGCATATTATAAATTATTTAAAATAAGTAAACGATATGTTTTAATTAATAAACCGTTATTATCTTGCTAAAAAGTTGATAAATTTGCAAAAATGCATTGTATAATTACCATGTTTCATTGCGCTACCGTTATCCACATTTTTTTTTCTAAGTCCGAGCTTTACCTGAGAACCAAGTGACGTACACTAATCTTGGGAGCCGCGCGGGTCAGCTTATATGAGAATTATTGAAGAAATGCTGTCCATCGGCTCAATACAGAGGTTTAAACATAGGTCTGACTCGCGGTCATCATTGTCCGACGCGGCCCGAACGGAAAGTTAAAGTGTCGCCCATCATTGTCCCCCATGGCCCGAACGGAACAGTGCCATTTTTAGGCTGGCAGCGAAGGTGTTAAATGAGGGGCGGTTATCGATACAGTAAATTAATGTGTAATTATTTTTATTATAATTAATGCAAAGGTTTTTAACACGTTATCAGCGTATTTATCATTCAGTTTGAATGTGAAATGTAAACGAACTTAAATTATCATGAAACTAAAGAAATAATCTTTAGTAGACGTAGACTTATCAGAATTTGCCAACCAGTGTAGTAGGTAAAAGGTCATTTAGTACATTTTAACCGACTTCAGCAAAAGGAGGTTCTTAGTGAGGGTTTTCGCGATTGAAAAATCCGCCAGATGGCAATACGTAGACGCGAGGTCAAAATGCTGCATGATTGGTTATTTTTGACATGACATTGACAGATATGTCAAAATCCACCAATCACGCAGCATTTGGACCTCGCGTCTACGTATTGCCATCTGGCGGATTTTTCAATCGCGCAAACCCTCAATCGGATGGTATTTTTATACGTTTTTAGCTCGTCTTTACGTGTAACATTTAGTTCTATTTGGTTAGGACCCGTCAGAAATTATTTTTGTAATATTGTGTGTTTAATGGAAATAAATAATCTAAGAGCACGAGTAAAACCTAATAGCTGTCTATTTTTAGAATGCCGAAGAAATTGTACAAGTATTTATATAAAATACTTATAAGTTATTATTATTTCTATTATAGTTATTTCTGCGTGGTGTGAATTCTCTGAAATGTACGTTCTTACACTTTTATGGGTTCTTGAAGCAATTTCAGATTAATTAATAAGGTTGCTGACTGCTCGTGTTGGATATCTCCTATCTGACAGATAGTTCTACAGTGTTCGAAAGCTCTCATAAAATGTTTACTCTCTTCTGTTGTAGCACATTAAGGCTGAGTTGCACCACCTAGCTTTAACCGTAACTATAACCGGTGTTTTTTGTATGGAGTTTACGTTTGTCAAATTTAAAGTAAGATGGTGCAACCCAGCCTAACCTAGACAGAGTAGCGTCTTATCTCGTTGTAATACAAGCTATTTTGCAACCAAAAATATAAAGCCTGAAGTGCTATCGACTGTCTACATTATGGAATGGAACGCTTTTCACACGAGATTTAAAATGTCACGACTAGAGGAAGGAATTACAGTAATATGTCATTATTGTCAACTGATAGTGTCTATAGTCTATCCAATATAGCTTGATTAGAATGACAGCTATCAAACGAATGTGACTAGTGCTGGGTATGTTTCGTACGGTTCACATAGATGTATCGATAAGTTTTCGAAAAAATGATATAAAAAAATGCACCCATTTTTTCTTCATATCTTTATTCATAAAAATGACAATTATAATTTAAATTTAAAGACAGTACAATTTAAAATTCATGTCAAGGGTGTACAACCTAAGTCGTAGTCATTATCATCAGTGTTCTTCAGTGGTTTTTTCCTCTCGCTAGAGGGGCGGTGGGCATCTCTTCTAGAGCAACGGTGCTATGAATACCCAAAAAAATACCGGTGATTGATTTCCAATGTTTGATTATTTAAGAATGAAATGTTTTTTGGTTTTTAATAGTGAACATTTAGATAAACGTATAACTTGACTTAAATATGTAAAAAAATTAGTTAGAAAAAAAATTTGTTAAATATGTTAAAAAATTAGTTTTAATTTAATATGACATTTGTCGATATGTCCCATCACTAACATTTTTGTAACTCGAGATAACCTTGTAGAGACGTCGTTAATACTCTAGCTTGATTTTTATAATTTCGAATTACTACTTATTGGTGTAATTTAACGCTGCATTTACACGAAATTAACATTTTTATTGGAAGCACTGTCGTCGAAAATATTGTTTGTAGGTCAGACGTGAATTATTTCTTGTCCGCCAATATTTAGCTCTCATTGATCGCTACTACAAAGTTATGTCGTTACTTTTGATGGCAGCTGTCATTCTAATCAAGCTATATTGGATCGTTTTAAATCTTCTATTCTATTAACTGCGCTTAACTTAGTCAGTACCTGAGGTATGGCGGCACAGGAGGGTGATTTTGTGACGGTCAAACGGCAGTCAAACTTCAGAGCCCCGATTGCGCTAATTTTTAACGTCTCCAATTCATTACCGCTTCTTCACCAGTTGCGCTTCGTTTTTCAGTCTAGCTGAGGTACAAATTCGATATCGCGGTAAAGTTCACGCGCAAACAAAGACGAAACAACGGATTTAATCACTTTCCAATAAAAGTCAGAACACCTTATTTTTTCACTAAAAACAGCAAATGTTCGTGAAGGCGTTTGACTTGAGTTTGTGAAAAAGTAGCTTTCTTTCAGCTTTTACACAAAGAAGCAGTTGCGTTTTGTTTTCGTTTGAACTAGCTGTCACAGCGACACCGCGATACTTTGTGATTTTCGTTCGTCGTCTAGTCGCGTTGTAGTTGAAAATATTTAGCGCAAATGGGGCCCAGATCTCCTTCAGATTTGTATGCCCTGTCACGTCATGATATTATGTCAATTTCACCCCTCCCGTACCTCAGGCACTGACTAATTTACGCACTATACATAAAATATAATGTAACACATACCTGTATAGTCATCTTGGTCCTCTCCTTATCAGTACTCCTGATGGCGATCTGATCCTGCAGGTACAAACTGGAGATGATATCCTGACCCTGGGACCCGTACCTCTGACGAAGGAACTTGCCGATTTGGTACGCTCTCCTTTTGCCGACCTGGGAAAGAACAAAGTTAAAAGTTTATAAAAAGAACAGTAAAAACAAAAGACTGACTTAAAAAGAAAGTTGGATGGTGTGAAAGTCCAATTAAAAGAAAAAGAACAAAAAGGCAAAATTAAAAAGAAAATCAAAAGGTTTCCCTTGGGGTTTAAAAAGCTTCATTTGAGACAAACATTTGTCAAGCAATGAGAAGAAGTGCTGCTGAAGAAATGGGTAAAGATTTACGTATCTTTTATTGATTAGACCTACTTCATTATTATTTATTACTAAAAGTTTATAAAATTAAGAGGTTTCAAATCCTAAAAAGTAACATCTCGAATATCTAAATATATAAAAGGAGAAACTGACTGACTGACTGACAGATCAACGCACAGCCTAAACGGCTAATCGTAGGCACTTGAAATTTGGAAGGGACGTAGCTTAGGTACCGTAGAGGTGCACTAAGAAAGGAATTCCCGAAATTCCCACGGGAACGGGAATTAGCGGGAAAAAAGGAATTCACGCGTACGAAGTCGCGGGCGGCCGCTAGTCAAATATAAAACATATCAAAAATCACAAAACAATATTCGTGGCCTAGACAGAAAACGGACTGAACACACAGATTGACTAACGCATTTTGTTTGTAATAATAAGCCTGGATTGAGATCAGCCCTAATACAGTCTAGCTAAAGTACAGTCGATATTAAAATTCCAGGAACCACAAGAAAAACATAGGAAAAATCTGCTTGTTTTCTAAGTAATTTTAAGAAGGTAGCTCAAAATTTAATACAATACAATTACGGCGCCGATATTACATTCTAAGCTACTTGGTCGTGCTGCATAATGATGGTTTGCAGGAAAATACCATATTTTCCTGTTTTTTTTACCTACTTGCTACACACAGGAAACGGGAACAACAGAACCGGTCTGTTTCCGGGTTTTTGTTTCCTGTTTTTTTATAAGAACACTTATTTATAAGAAGATTCTTCTATTTACATTTTGTGTTAATTTAATTATTAACTTAAAAATTAACTTTTACTGAAATAAATTTTTGGTGCTTGTTAAACTTATTTAAAAGTCACTGCAATAAAAAGTTTCTTATGAACTGGGTGCTACTACACACGTAGATAACAAAACTGGTAAGAGACATTAATTTCATTTCATACACAAAACAGTTTTTCAATTTTATTCCAATTAAAATTAAAACACAACCTGAATGGAGTTTTGAGAGAAGTTTCAATAAAACTGAATAAATTTAAACTGATAAAGTAAAATGAATCAGATCTACTGTATTATTTGGGTATTGTGTTTGCATTAAAAGTGTAGCCTTAAGTTTCTTTATTCTGATAAAATATGGCAGAGAACTTGGTTACTTTTATACTTTGCCTGACTATTAGTTAGGTGAAGTTTCGCGTTTCATGAAACAATTACGTTTTTTGTTAAACTTAAGTGTAAACACATTTTTTACATAACTTAATATGATTTTAATTAATATTTTGAAGAAGGGTATTCCCTTCTATGATCTGAGGGTATTCCCCTATTCTGTGTTATTCAGTGTGTAACAAGATAAATACTTCATAGTTAGCGATTACTATGATTTAAAACCAGTTTCGGCTAACAAAAAGCACTATTCTCTTGTCTGAAGAGGATTTAACGGAATACGTTTGAACTGTTGTTTTATGTAATTTATTTATTTTTTATTTTTTTTATTTTATTTTTTATTTTATTTGTTTAACAATGTTTCAACAGCATTAAATTATTATTTTATTAGTCCACATTATCAATATCAATTAATTTTGTCTTCTTACATCTAAGCGAAATACCACTCACTGGTTGGGTTTTTATCGGCGGTCAAGCTGTTGATCCTGGCTACATAGGAGTTGCAGCGGTGGGAACGAGAGGTGGGAATAGTTCCGTTAATATTATATGGCGTAAGAGGGCTTGGTCTGTTGTGTGCTAAAAAATTTAAATGGTATTTGAATTGGGCGTTTTTGCCTATTCCATTAGCAAAAATATTGAATAGATAAAATGCCTAAATGGATATAGTGCATGGTTTTTCCATATTGTATAATGGTGTGGAACCTTTCTCTACGAGGTTGATTGTCACTTGGCGGGTTCAACTTACATTGGTCAGCCCTTCCAGCCCTTCTATAGCGGTCAGGTTCTTGAGCTTCTCCTGTTCATTTGACAGAGAGAGCTCGTCAGCATCAGGGGTCCTTTCTCCGTGTCTGTTTACCTGGAACAAAAAGACTATTAGTTAATTATTGATATTAAAAAGATTACAGAATTTTTGTCAATCTTTATTGACGACCTCATAAAGGTATCAAGATGGCGCTGGATGCAACCGGCCTTTGTGGAAATCATAGGGGAGGCATATGTTCGGCAGTGGACGTCCTATGGCTTAAATGTTGATAAAATGAATGAATTCCATAAGGTCTAAATAATTACTACGATCGTTGACAAACACCCTACATTGTTAACCGTCTTTTGTTTGCAATTCAAATCAGTTAATCTAGCGTAAGACGCAAGTCTTATCACTGCTCCTCTATTACACAATAGATGAGTTTAGAGAGGGTCATCAGAACAATTGACCTCAATTATGCTGTAAACATTGGCAGCTTTGTTTGGGTGCCATTTGCATGACTATGGCACTGATTGTGGGCAGGGTTCCTCGTGTAACGGACGTGACACGTCAAGACTTTAAGATAAATCACGATTCAACGACTAAGAACTAAAGCACACGATGCGTTGCGGCGCGGGGGAGCGATGTCTCTGCGGTCGTCTTACATAGAAATTACTGTGGCGGGCACACGTGCGGCGCCGCAAGCTTCGTGTGCTTAGGCTCTAAGGTTTTTTATTGGCGGCCAAGCTGTAGATACTGGCTACACAGGAGTTGCAGCGGTGAGAACGAGAGGTGAGAATAGTCCCTAGACAACTCAACAAAAGGGTCTGGAAAAGTTAATAGACAGAAAGTTCATTTCACATTATAAATGTAATTTTAGCACGGGTGATTGTGAAAGAACGCCTACTGAAAAACTGTCATCGTAATATTTCTACCCATTTCTCATTGAACTGCTTGAATTATAGTCAGTATTATAATGTCTGGCTTGGCTTATAATGTCTGACGTCACTTAGTACAACCCACACGATAGTAGAAGCCATAAATCTTTATCAACCTACAAATTCAAAGGCTCATAGCTGAAAGAATCCTTTTCTAAGGTGTTATTTTTGTCTACAAAAGAAAAGCACATAAAATTGCTTATGTTAGGTATTTTGATAAATTTTGATGAAGTATCAGTAAAATATGACAAAGAACTTGAAACTAGATTTAATCGCGGTTCACGATATTGACATCTGATCAATGAAAACATCGTTTTATCGACGATAAACTTGAACTAATGAGTTGTTTACTTCATCTTAACTAGGATGTAGATCGAACTAGACAATTAACAGTTAAAATAGCAATTAAACAAAGAGAGGGTAGGATCACTTGTGACCTGACTTTGCTTCTAGCTATTCATTTATCTGTCTACGTTCAAGACAAGCTTTTTTAATTCCTCTCATATGGTGATGATGAGGATGATGATCCATACGACCGATTTCGGCCATGGTGACCACTCCGACTTCTAGGTGTCTTGGCGGCGCTGGTGTGCCGGAAGATGGCTTACGTAGCCTATTTTTGCGGCAAACCCCCTCGCCCATTGAGGGCATCTGAGCACGCCGCCAACATAGTTATATTAAATGGCGGCAGACGGACGGGCCTTGCAAGTCATCGCGCTACGCGTCAAGTTCAGTCGTACGCTCCTCCTCGAACTCGTGGACCTGCCTCTTCGCAATCTCCCGCCATTCTGGACGCTGTGCTGCCAAACCTTCCCACTGAGAGGGCTCAATGTTGCATCTTTTCTGGTGCCGCTTCTGTACATCTTTGTACCTGAGGAGTTGACCGCCATGTTTCCGCTTATCCTCCTCAAGTTCAGAGTAGACGATGCGCTTCGCCACTCTCTCCTCCATCATACGTGACCACATCATCGAAGCTGGCGACGCATTATATCCTCTCATATAACACATAAATAAACTCATTTTATTTTTGCAAGTAGGCTTTAAAACACTTTTACACGTACCAGTATTAACCCTACCACTCCTTCGGGCATAAAATGGGCCTGTGCTGAGAAGAAGCAGCGCAAGAAACTCAGTCACTATTGTATTCCGTTAATTATAAAGTCTCAAGGATTTCCACAATGACCGTTCTTGCGCTGCCCTCATCCGCGACCTTCTCTAGGTCGTCCGTCCCCGAATGGGAGGAACCTTAACTTATTTTTCTCAAATACTTTGTTGACGCAGGACCGGTCTTTGTGGAAATCCTTGGGGGAGGCCTTTGTCCAGCAGTGGACGTCTTTCGGCTGAAACGAACGAACTTTGTTCATCATCATCATTTCAGCCATAGGACGTCCACAGCTGAACACAGACCTCCCTCAACGTTTTCCATAATGACCGGTTGGTAGCGTCCTTCCTGCATTCAGCGCCTTCCTGCTACCTTTATAAGGTCGTCGGTCCGCCTTCCGGGTGGACGTCCACCGCTCCAGAACCAGCCGTCAGTTCTGTGTACTATATGCCCTGCCCATTTGACTTACCACGAAAGCCAGGACTAGCTGCTGGTCTTCCACGATCTCGTTTCCAATTGGGATCCCAAAGGATACTCCCACGACGGCCAGAAGGCACACTACTCCTAAATACTGGAACATGGTTCTGAAACAAAACGTAAGTACTTTTATTAACATTCAGTAAAGTGTCTTCTAGGATTTCTAGGATGTCGTAAAAGGAGACTATGATGGCGCAAGTACACTATTAAAATTTGCCGAAGCGCGAGCCCGTACACCGAAGTATGGGTAATGGACGACACACGAGTGGGGGAAGGAGAAAGTAACCGAGATGGTGTTTACACTATGTCTCGGTCAATTTCCCGCATAGTGTACTTGCACCATGAGAAATATGCGAACATTGGGCCAACCAACCCTGCGTGGGGAGTGTACGCAAAATACTCACTCCATATAGTTACTTCGGGTAAATTAGGGAGGATCTTAAATTGTTATTGTAGTGGAGAGTTATTAAAGGTGATAATGAACAAACTAGAAATCATTTGGTCGTTGCAGGCAGAGAGCTGTATCCGCCTATACAACCGACGTGAACAAATCCTCAACGTGACCACGACCGATCTGCCAAGAGCGAAATGAATAAAAAGAATTAGTGCAATTCTGAACGTAAGCTTCTTTCAAGGGCGATGCGTTTTTCATCCTGTCACTATCTACCATAACTCGTCAGCCCATTAAGTAGGGGACATCCTACACTATAATTGCCAAGATGTGACCTCCACTCAAAAATCCGTTTGCCCTTTATGGACTAGCAATAATTTACCTAAATTAAAATAATTATTTATTCACATAACAGAGAACCTGTTGAGGGAATGAATGATGTAATTGCATCACCTAAAATTATCTTTGTTTTAATTGCCTTTGACAGTAATATGAAAGACAATTGATATATTCGACCCACGTATTTAGACCATGACGGAGCGATAAGGCACGTTCACAATATTGTAATACAAGTTATTAACGGAGTAGGATTACTTCAGGTATGTCATTGGAACCAAAGACCATAATAAGGTTTCTATTATGGATACATCTTAAAAACAACCAATCATAAGCATAGACTTAGCGACAGCTTGTTCCCGGCTTAAAACTGATTTTCGAACTTCTATTCGACAAGAGTTTATTCAGAGAATACAGAACACAGTTATCGCCTAGATCCATTTCTATTCATCATCATCATCATCATCTCAGCCATAGGACGTCCACTGCTGAACATAGGCCTCCCCCAATGATTTCCATGTTGCCCGGTTGGTAGCGGCCTGCTCGTTCGTATATTACAAGACCTAGTGAATCACTGTTTAAACTTCAATTGTGGCTACACTGTGCCCCAGTGATCTTACGCTGATATTAACTTAATTACAAATTGAATTATCAACGAAAATTATAAATATCATTTGAGTTACGTAATTTGTAACATCATTAACACAATCACGTGTTATTTATATCTCTTTATTATATTTTGGAGTCTTTTAGTAATCGGCACTATTTAGATCTCTCGTTCTCACTGCTGCAACTCCTGTGTAACCATTTCTATAATATAAAACTCAAAGGTGACTGACTGACTGACTGACATAGTGATCTATCAACGCACAGCCCACACCACTAGACGGATCGGGCTGAAATTTGGCATGCAGGTAGATCTTATGACGTAGGCATCCGCTAAGAAAGGATATTACGAAATTCCACCCCTAAGGGGGTAAAACGGGATCGTCGGGATCCACGCGTACAAAGTCGCGGGCGGCCGCTAGTGATCAATAAAACCTTTTTTATCCACAAAGAAGAAGCTCTTGGCCTGCGCCTCACCTGAAGAAAGATGACAATCAGACCGAAGGTGGAAGCGAGCTTCATCCGGAATCCTCAACCACAAAGGAACTGACTATCTTACCTCCAACTGCAGGAACACAACAATGCTGTTGCTGATGCTGCTGTTAACATTGTTGTTATGGCGACAGATTTATGTGAGATGGTGGTAGCTAGCCAGGCGGATTAAGAACAAAAATCTGTCCCTACTGGGTACCGAATCTGGGTCCTCTGGGTCTAAAGCAAGTCCTGGACCACAGAGGTCCAATAAAGTAAAACTTTTCACAGAATTCAACGTAAAATACGTTTTCAAATATGAGTGAAGTTTGATTCAAACAACATCTTCGGAACGAAGTACGAGTAAACCGGTGTTCTAAGTACTGTACTTACGAGTACATGTAATTTTGTGGTATAATTAACATGAAATAAATAGATTACTGATAGCTTAATTACACCGTGAATTTAAGTGCGTAACTAATTTGCGTTTTGTGACGATTGTAGGAAATAATTTGAAATGTTTAATTAATTTTGATTTTGAGAATTTATTTATTCAAACACAGGAAAACAATTACGTATTTAAACTCCACACACTTCAATCTTTGAATGGTAACTAAAGAGAACTGAAACTTGTTTGTTTTCAAGAAATTCAGGTTTAAATGATAACAATTTATTACACTAAATGTATTTAATTTTTGTGTAAGAGTGATAAAAGAATGCTAATAATAAGTTACTGATGTGTTTACACGGTTACTTTGCGTACAGTCAAATATTAACTTTGTAATAAAGAAATAGAGCCTCAAATACAGTGTGTCCGGGCATGTAGTGATCAAACTTTAAGGGCGTAATCTATGGACAATTTTATCGATGAAAATACTTCAAATTTGGGGCCTGACCCATTTCTCGAAAAATTACATCGATTTAAGTTTTTATTTTTAGTTTACACCTCTTCTTTAAAAAAACAAGTGAAAGCGTGGGTAGCTTAACATTATTAGGCAAATAATTTATATCATGCGATAGCCAATAAAATTATCTATTAGTAGAAGAAGAAAGCAGACAGAAGTTTCATGCATTTTATGGGAGTAAGGATGGATTTAATTAGAAAAATACATTACTTTTTTCACTTCTTTTTCAGTTATTTTCCAACACAAGAAAAGCCAGGTCGTTAAGGTATGTTTTATTTGCATTGTATTTTTAGTATTTGAGCTATTCTACAAAACGAATGTAAATTTATTAGTCTACGTCTATTAGTTTCGACGTAATTGTTGAACAAAGATAGGGGAGACCTAGGAGAGTTGTGACAATTTTTACTTTAGGGGCCATATCTCGCTCAAAAAACATTCCACAGCTATGAATCATACAAATTAATGTAGCGTCGTTCCTTCTGTTTTCAAAACAATCACTAAAGTTAACTAAAGTATTAGGGTTTCTAAGAAAATCACCAAAATCTTAGACCACTCCCTCTGTCACAACTCTCCTAGCACCGAGGTAAGTTGTGACAGGTACCGAGGTGAGTTGTGACAGCATTGTATTCCATCTATTAGATATACAAATACCTTAATACTCAATGAAATATGATTTTTTAGCAAAAACTTACTATAATCATCCTTTAGTACTAATTAAAACAAATAGTTATGGGACGTCGTTACACAAATTGAGCCACATTTCTCCAGCTTTCATTTTTCTCCCACGACATTGGATTTTTTTTAATAATATTTTTTAGCTAATATTATAGATATATTTTCTTCCTCTCCTGTAAAAATAAAATTGTCGCGGTGGTAAAATCCATAGACGGAGCTTCACCTTCTGGGTTTACTTGATAAGCCTCTTTCTTCTTAATATATTTAGATTTACAATTTTAGTTAATTTACAATAACTTAATTTATTTACAAGTTTAGATTGTAAGTAACTTACTATAACTGTAACTTTAACCCTTTAACCTAATCACTCTATAAGCCAGGTCCTAGATTTCGAATCTACCAAACAGTTCCTCTATATGGCTTTCATGTATAGTTATTAGGCATACTGAATCAAAAAAGTAGCAGCACGCAATTATACAAATTATGAACCTACTAACATACAAAAAACATCTAAAAACATCGTGGGAATGGCCCATCAGAAAAATTCAGTAAGCTAGGAGAGTTGTGACAGCCTGTCACAACTCTCCTAGATGTTTAAAATGACGACTTGGTTCGAATAATGATTTTTATTTTCTAAACACGATGCGCACACAAGTGATCAGTGCTACATTTTGAGACCTGAATAACCATGCAACTTGGGAAAAAATAACACAACAGTGCACATATACTAAAACATGATATAAATCGAAATAAAATTTTGAAGAAAAACTTACTTTTCGCATTTTTTTGTACACGGACGTCATATTTACTTAACCGTGCCTCTTGCGCCTCCCGCAGGTACTTAGTTAAGAAGAGCGTCTTAAAAGCGACAAACAAGCGTTTATACCACCTTTCTAACTATCTTAAGTAAGGAGAAATCGTCCTTGTCACAACTCACCTCTGTCACAACTCTCCTAGGTCTCCCCTACCTCTTCCCAGCGGTTTCCATAGCGCACGCGACATGCGAAAATGCACTGCCTGAAAGAATCACACAACATATTCCGATTACTATGGAAACCGCTGGGAAGTGGTATCTTTGTTTAACAATTACGTCGAAACTAATAAACGTAGACTAATAAATTTACATTCATTTTGTAGAATAGCTTAAATACTAAAAATACAATGCAAATAAAACATACCTTAACGACCTGGTTTTTCTTGTGTTGGAAAATAACTGAAAAAGAAGTGAAAAAAGTAATGTATTTTTCTAATTAAATCCATTCTTACTCCCATAAAATGTATGAAACTTGTGTCTGCTTTCTTCTTCTACTAATTGATAATTTTATTGGCTATCGCATGATATAAAATATTTGCCTATTAATGTTAAGCTACCCACGCTTTCACTTGTTTTTTAAAACAGAGGTGTAAACTAAAAATTAAAAACTGAAATCGATGTAATTTTTTGAGAAATGGGTCAGGCCCCAAATTTGAAGTATTTTCATCGATAAAATTGTCCATAGATTACGCCCTTAAAGTTTGATTACTACATGCCCGGACACACTGTATAATATAAGAGACGAAATTCGTATTTTTTGTGTGTTCTGTACCTACATAACAAATATATAGTTTACTTTTTATCAATAATTGAAGACATCCAATATAATGGGGCAGCAAGGTTCTGGAGTGAAGGCCACGTACTGGAAAAAGCAGCATGTGACGTCCACCCACAAGGACCGACGACCTC